TTAAATAGAATAACCCAAATGGTGGCGCAGCTGTCATCCAGTTTGGGTCGGATATCAGTCGAAATCAAGCAGGTTTTTGCTCAGCTCTCCAGAGGAACCCGCGTCGCTCTGTAAAAGCAGAATATTAAAAAATACCGTTGCTATCGAATGCGTTTTATTGGTCGGGCACGCTTGATCAGCCTGGTTTGCCGTGCGATGGCCGTCACACAAACACTTGACGTTCTTTGCAATCATCGAAGGTGAAGAGGAAGCGGCAGCAGGAGGAGGAGGAGACGTGTGCATGAATAAAGATTACCTGCGAGGAGGAGGAGGAGGAGGAGAGAGAGAGATTGTTTTTTTTTTTTCCATTTCTAGCGCTATATAAATCAGCATGTATTGTATATATGTAGAACATGCGACTCCCTGCTGGGTGCTTGTTGAAGATCAACTGCAATGCAGTAATTGCAGCAACAGTTTACTGCTCTCCATGCACGTCTGGAGTTGCGTTGCGCTCGAGACGGGCATTTAGCTTCCGCGCAGCGGTGCTTTTTGAAAGGCAGAATCGACACAAATAAACTCCGCTAAGCAGGAGGGAAGCTTTGCAAAGTGAAATCACAATTAAAGCTGCGAGCGCATCCTTTCGCTTGAGTTGGGACCGCCTGATCTAGTTTCCAGATCGTTAATAAGCCATGGCAAATATTTAATTATTATTATTTTTTTGGTGTTACCTTAAAGTCAAGTCGGCCTGAAGTGTACTGATATTTTGGGGGATTGTTTCTAGTATGAATACATTCGACATGTTTGAAGAAAACTGCTGAATATGTCCAAAGACTGACAACTGTTTTAGGGGGCGTGGCTAAAACAGGACACATTGTTGCATTTTGGGCCCTGGCATGAGTCATTCTTGAACTTGATCGCTTTCATCCGCATCAGCAGCTATCCGGTGCAATTGCGACATGCAGTTAGCTAGCTAGCCTCGCTTCCACCCGAAAATGTATCTTTACTTTGTATAGCCCACTGGTGTGATCACTTTTGAGCGCCTCGTTTGTTGGCCGTGAGCACGCGCACTTCACATAGACAAAGGCCTAACAGAGTTTAAAAATTCCATCCATTTACTGTACACACCCACACACACACACACACACACACACACACACACTCACACACCGCAAAGCGTCTAGTGGAGTACAGCTGCCTCCAACCCGCCCTCTGATTAATGTGTTTACCCCGAGGTCGTCATTAAAGTCTTCCTATCGCTGTCACATTGTTTGTACACGTATGTAAATGATGGGAGTGAAAGAAAGAACACACACACACACGCACACACACACACACACACACACACACACACACACACGCACGTCATCCCCAGTTTAGCACCTGCACCAAAAAGCTTTGTTGACAGCAATCCGTCATCTCAGCCTGCCATCACTTCAAATTATGAAGCCGTTCACCGAGGCACACTCTCACGCATACAAAACGCACTCACTTCCCATTCCTAAAGAAAAAAAAAAATTGCCACTGACATCCAAAGACAATCACAAAGAGGAGTTACACTTCAATCAGACCTAGTACAGACGACCGGTACCTTTTTGACCTAACCTCTTTCCTCCTCATACTGTACAAAAGGTGAGGAGAACTGCTTTAAAAGCAAACCCGAGACCAGTTCGGGCTTTCTTCACCTGAGTTGATTGTAAAACTGGCGCATAAAACCAAAAAGAAATGAACATTGTATATTTGGAACACCAAAATGTTCACACAAACCATATAATCCCTTCTCATGCAAACCCTGCTAGCTGAATGCTAATATGTAATGCGAAACACCATTAGTGGGCTAACGGACATTAGCATAGCTGTTCTAAACCGCTACGTGCATGGAGCAATAGCACATACAAACAGAGCATACAACAATACTGTGTTCTGAGGGGGGGGTGGGGATACAGTATTAGTTGGGGACCTTCTCTGCCACTTGGTGTTGCTCTTAATTATGCTGCATCTCTTTGAGTTGAGTTTAAAAAAAAACTGTTACTTAAAAATTTGTGAATGATGAAGCGTGATATAGTCAGCATTCATTATATACAAATGAGCGACGTTAAATAGAATAACCCAAATGGTGGCGCAGCTGTCATCCAGTTTGGGTCGGATATCAGTCGAAATCAAGCAGGTTTTTGCTCCGCTCTCCAGAGGAACCCGCGTCGCTCTGTAAAAGCAGAATATTAAAAAATACCGTTGCTATCGAATGCGTTTTATTGGTCGGGCACGCTTGATCAGCCTGGTTTGCCGTGCGATGGCCGTCACACAAACACTTGACGTTCTTTGCAATCATCGAAGGTGAAGAGGAAGCGGCAGCAGGAGGAGGAGGAGACGTGTGCATGAATAAAGATTACCTGCGAGGAGGAGGAGGAGGAGGAGAGAGAGAGATTGTTTTTTTTTTTTCCATTTCTAGCGCTATATAAATCAGCATGTATTGTATATATGTAGAACATGCGACTCCCTGCTGGGTGCTTGTTGAAGATCAACTGCAATGCAGTAATTGCAGCAACAGTTTACTGCTCTCCATGCACGTCTGGAGTTGCGTTGCGCTCGAGACGGGCATTTAGCTTCCGCGCAGCGGTGCTTTTTGAAAGGCAGAATCGACACAAATAAACTCCGCTAAGCAGGAGGGAAGCTTTGCAAAGTGAAATCACAATTAAAGCTGCGAGCGCATCCTTTCGCTTGAGTTGGGACCGCCTGATCTAGTTTCCAGATCGTTAATAAGCCATGGCAAATATTTAATTATTATTATTTTTTTGGTGTTACCTTAAAGTCAAGTCGGCCTGAAGTGTACTGATATTTTGGGGGATTGTTTCTAGTATGAATACATTCGACATGTTTGAAGAAAACTGCTGAATATGTCCAAAGACTGACAACTGTTTTAGGGGGCGTGGCTAAAACAGGACACATTGTTGCATTTTGGGCCCTGGCATGAGTCATTCTTGAACTTGATCGCTTTCATCCGCATCAGCAGCTATCCGGTGCAATTGCGACATGCAGTTAGCTAGCTAGCCTCGCTTGCACCCGAAAATGTATCTTTACTTTGTATAGCCCACTGGTGTGATCACTTTTGAGCGCCTCGTTTGTTGGCCGTGAGCACGCGCACTTCACATAGACAAAGGCCTAACAGAGTTTAGGCTGGATTTTTATTTTATTTTATTATTTTTTTAAGTCTAACTTGAAAGTGTGTGAAAAGAGTGTGTGCGCTGTCATGACTGCTTTAGAACGCCTCAGTGTTGGCAGTGAGTGCAATTAAAAAAAAGGCTGCGGTCACGCTTCCATTTGTCAGCCTCTCTGGAAACCCTTATTAAAAAATTTCAAAATGGCTGCTGACGGGTTCCGCAGAAGAGTCCGGAACCAATTAGTGACCTCGTTGGACGAGCGTACGCTATTGCTCCTCTGCCCGCCCGTCATCCCGTTTTCGAGGAGCCCCTTTTAACCTTCGCTTTTGTCCGCGCTGGCTTATTTGCTTTTTCCTCTCGCCAATCAAATGAGTCTGTCTTTACCCGACGGGGGGGACGACGAGCCCGAGCGTCGGTTAAATGGGATCAGGGCGAGGTTATATTTGGAGTCCGCTTAGCGAGATGGAAGCATTCAAACAGCTGTGTAACAATTGCCTGGCCAATTTTGCACCTCCACTTTGCCCGATTGCGCATACCCACGGTGAAGACGGCTGGTCATATTCCCATTATTACAGTAGAGTAAAGCCAGCTATATTTCGGTTCGTTATTCGCTCCCCCCACTTGAGATAATTTCATAATGTTTGTAAACGGGCCGAGGTACTTCGTGGTGGCAGAAAAATGAGATGAAATGATGACAAAAATAATGTTTTGGGAAATGGCACAGACGTGATGTGATGTGTCTTTTGGTTTGTGGTTTGGTTTCATTGAAAAAAAGAGAAGTCCGCTGCCCTCTATTGGTTGGAGGGTAAATTGCTGACAATAACAGCAAATCAACTTGACAGCTTTCCTTGTAAATTCTCTTGATCCGCATCCAAGTCGTCCATGTTTTTTTTTTTCCGCAAGTCTGCCGCTAGAATGAGCACAACTGCTCTTTTTTTTTTTTTCTTTTTCCCCTCCCACTGCATCGCTGTCGTCATTTTGCATAGTGGTTGCCGGTGGCGACATGCTGTCACAACAGTTTAATAGCAACAAATGAGAAATGTGGCGCACTGAGTGAAAGGGGGACGGGGGAGGGGGGCGTCCGACGCGCTACTTATTGAGTCATTGCCTTACGGGGGCTATACCAGGCCACTTTTCAAAAGTGACTTTTTTGCCTCTTCATTTTGGACTGGAAAAGTGAAAAGCTTCATATTACGTTCCGCCACTGCTTTGTTGTGTTTAAGTCCGGTGAAACCCGAAGCCCATTCAGGAGGGAAACTGGGAGAAAAGTGAACGCAGACACAAATGCTGACTCGTGGTGTTTTTTTTTTTGTTTTCTTTTTGCATGTGCAAATATTTAACATATAAGGTGCCATAGCGTCTCTTCAAAAAATAGTTGTGTACTCGAAGTGCATTTGCATTTTTCATTAATGTGTATTTATGTGTTAGAGGGTCGCCAAGGGGGGGAGGTGGGGTGTCTTGCACAGGGCGCCGTTGATGCTAGGACCGCCACTGAGGACGATTGCCTGCATCTTCAAGGTCAAACTCTTGGCTTGAAAATGGAGCTAAAGTGTTCGCTGTTACGATGCCAAGTGACATTTAATTTCATCTCCACGCGCCAAAGGAGGAAACAATCATAAGAGCGACGTGCCACCATTTTGACAGCTTGAAGCCCCGCGAATCAGCATTGTAATATGGCGGCGTTGGGCATCTGTCAGCCTGAGACGAGCATCTCATCAGGAGATGACGTTTTTTTTTTTCCATCTCCGTGCGTCAAAACGAGAAGGTGAAGTGAAATGAAGTGTGTTTGGTGATAAGTGCTGACACGTTCCTCAACATGGCTGCGTTTTCATTCACTTTTTATTTTACGGCAGGGCCATGATACAGTTGATGCTGCGTTCCAGGAAACCCTTCACCGTGTACCAAATTGCAAAGGTAAGCGTTCTTGTTTGGGTGGTTAGCAGGTTAGCTAGTTGAGCGCACATTATAGTGGCTGAGTGTCCTACATTGTCCTTTTTTTTTTTTTAAGGAGAATACGATGACCGATATACTTAAAAATGGGACTTGGTTGTTGAATAATAACAAGGGCACGGCTCCGAGCACGTACAGCATGTAAATTAATCTTAACTGCCAAATGGTGTTTTGTATATTCAATTATTTGTTTTTTATGGTTCCTGTGCTGGTCTTTGAAAATATGACTTAAGTGGTGCCAGTCAGTACAAGCACAAAAATGTCAGAAGCACACTAGGCGCACTCACATTTTTATTGATGGACCGCCAAACATACATCCAGTCACAAGCACGGTGTTCTGAATTAAATTACTTTTATTGGTTTTATTTCATAGTGAGTAAAAAAATAAAACACTCTACTTCAAAGTGTGAATGTAGCTCGACATCTCGACAGGACGAATGAGCATCTCAAGTGTGCTTTATCTTTGTCATTGATTTCAGGGACATTTCCACATGAATAATCCACATTCCATTATTGAAGGCAGCCTCAGTTGTCAATGACTCATTTCTCTTTGGTGTTTCTGGGTTCATTCCCAGTCGTGGTGGTTGTGTCACAATTTGGGCGGGAGAATATGAAAAAACGTTGCAAGTCCAGGCGCTTAAAAAGGATTTATATGTGAACGTGAGAATATGGCCAAAGTTAGTTTGTTGTCATCCATGAACCAGGAAGTAGCCTGCTAAGCTAACAAAGCAGGAACGCTAGCGTTAGCTACGGTGAACTAAAACTGTGGCTGTCCTCCACAGATTTCCTTTTCCCGCATTCAAAGATGAGATTTTTCTGCGGTTGTTTCACTTAAGAAGAATCATGAGCATGTAAACAACATGACCAATTTTTCTTTAGATGGTAACGAAGCAATTCAGTCATCCGCAGAACATGTCGACGTATAAATAAAACACTGAGCCACAGTTTATTTATTTATTTTTTTTTAAAACCGCATCACAAGCCTGTTGATTCGCAACAGGCCACAAGTTAGCCCGACCACAAGGGGCGAAGGCCGAGCTAGAGACGCGTGATGAATGTCCCAGAGCTAAGCCGGCAAGGAATGTCAAGCCAGGAATTCACGGCCAGGACCATGGCGAAGTCTGACACTCACATGACCACGAGAACTCAGTGAAAAACTGCTTTCATAAAAATGTGGTTTTACACAATTTACAAGCGAAGTCTGGAATATTGGCTTTCTGGGTGACATTCATTTAACCTTCTCCAAAATGTTATGGTCATGTCCAATTTGGGGGTGCATAAACTGCCCCCATCCCGTACCGTCACCCCCTGCCTCTCTTTTCCATGTTTTGATGAACTCGCTATTTGTGTTGCTTTTTAGCCTGTGCGGTGTTCCAACTAAGTTGATATGAGTGCTTCATAAATTTTGAGAATTTGAAGAGTGCAACAGCAACAAGTTCAGTGACCTTTTGGAAATTTCCTGGTTGATGTTTGCATCAGGGATACTGAATATTTGAAGACTTTTGTTGTTTTTAAGGTGTTTGTGTTGATTCAAAGTGAATATTTTTATTAATGTTTATGTATATTTTACTCAATTAAGAGGTCGAAAGCGTGTGTGACGACAACTATCACTGACGTCGTGCGCAGCCGGTTTAGCCCCGCCCTCTTAATCTTCCCACCTTTCGCAGGTCGAAGGGTGATTGGCTCGTGGCAGCTGGCAATCAACGCGGGCCCGCCTCTTCCTGTGTCAGTGCTCCTTGCCTTGAACTGCGAGTGTTCTGCCACTGCCGCTTACACGTTCCCCAGCGATGGACAGCTGTATATCGGCGCTTTCTCTAGCGTCGTCTCGCTCGTTTACTCTGGAGGTGGACTTGTGAGCGGATTATAAAACTACGCCGAGAGCGTATTTTAACAACGGGGGAAAGCCAATTTTGTCGTAGTTTGGCAGAAGGAAGCGGAGCAACATGCCTGTTTCAACTCTTCTGCCTTTCACGGCCACCCCGAATAGGAAGTCTTCCAACCCGACTTCGTTCAGGTTGACGGAGAAATTTATCCTGCTTTTGGTGTTCAGCGCCTTCATTACGTTCTGTTTCGGTGCAATTTTCTTCCTGCCCGACTCGTCCAAGCTACTCAGCGGAGTTTTCTTCCATTCCTCTGCCGTGGAGACGAACACCCGCACCGGACTGGACGGTGGCGGAGGTGAGTTAGGCTCGGCTGGAAGCGACGAGAAGGTCCTGGCCAAAATTAAGAAGGACCACGAAAAAGCCTTGCTGGAGGCCAAGGATACTCTACAAAAGCGTCCCGATGAGATCAAGCAGGACATTTTGAACGAGAAGGAAAAAGTGGCCAAGGAGAGTTTGGGTCAAGGTGGAAAGGGTGGCAATGATTTACCTTACGTCGAGTACCAGAGACCCCCGGGGGCAACAGGACACGAACCCATGGACCCCACGACAAGAGAGCGGCGGGCGAAAATCAAAGAGGTAAGCGACGGGAACTTCACGCCGAACTCCATGCAAAAATGTCTTAAATGTCAATACGCAATGATTTACCTCTATTCCTGTTAAGGACCGACTATCCCTGTACGTTGCACTCTCTTTCCAAACATCCCCCATTTGTTCCGGCTTGAACATTATCTTCACAATCGACATTTTACGAACAGAATCGGACCACCAGTTGTGCAGAGTCACGTCCGCTGCCTCGACGTGCGTGAACCGTTGCATGGATGAAGGGTCCGGAGCCTGTCAAACTTGTCCCTGTGGCATCTTTTACGGGATTACACAGCGATTGCTTGCATCCGAAAAGCGCCAAGAACTTTGCACCGGTACACACATTAATCCCATTAATCAATAAACGCTTTAGACCAGAGATCGTTTCATATGCCATGTTCACGTAGTTCTGCATTGCCCCTTTCGCAAGATGTCCCGTGGGTTGGGTTCAGGAGTGTGTGTGTGTGTGTGTGTGTGTGTGTGTGTGTGTGTGTGTGTGTGTGTGTGTGTGTGTGTGAAGGATCCGATGATCTCCATCATACCTGTGTGTCGTGTCTCATCGGAAGGCGATAAAGTGGTGGTGGAAAACCAGTTTTGATCGGGGTCATCTCTGCATTTGTTGCTTGCCTTCCTTTACTGTGTTTGGTATGTGGAGCATGTGTCCAACCCAATTTAGCATACCGCACTGACAAAACGTTTTGTACGAATGTGGGGGGGACCCTTCAAGTTGCTCCAGTTTCAGAGAAACTTGTTCCATTACAAATTGCTTGGGGGAAAAAAAAAATATTGGCAATGACAGAGTTATCGTGATATCTATCGTAATCAGAAAATGATGACTGACTTTATTTGGTGTGGCATAACGAGCTTTTTGTCACCCTTCCATGGCTTGGTTGATCAGAGATTGTTGTCATACACCAAATCAAGACTTTTTTTTTTTTTTTTTGGTGAAGTTCCATCTCAATCATTGAGCCAATAATTACAAAAAAAGTGACCAAGTGATACACTCATGAACGAAACTGGTCAAGTTGTTTCGTGGCCGATAGAATGATGTCAGACTTTCCCGGATTTACAATCAATATTAAAGATTTAGATAGTGTCAAATCAATGTTCCAAGTGGTTCTTGCGCCTGGAAAGTGATGAGTTTGGAGAGGGGTGGGGGGGTGTCAAATGTCATCCCATTTGGAAAAATGAAAGTTGACTTTTTTTTTTTTTTTTTTTTTTTTGGCGCAGTTGCAGAACAGCAATCTGGCAGAAACTGGCCATTCCCTCATTAGCCTTTCTACACATTACAACATTTTGTCCCTGGCAGGCTAGTCGCTTCACATAATGGCTAAATTCACTTTTACACTATTCACTGAATGGACTCGCCATAATCTCCTAATACCTTTATAACTTTAACACTAAACAGACACACAAAAAAAAAATTAATAGAAAGACGTATGAAAGTGAATTCCGAGATACATTTTGACATCCAGTTAGCTAGCTAACTGTGCCTACACCCCAGAAATGAATCTGCCCTGCTTTAGAGTGCCTCATAGTTGGTTGTGAATGCACATATGTCAGGGAGACAAGGTGGAAAAGCGAGATGGTATACAAAACAAAAAAAAAAGTCTTGACCGGCGGCTCATGTTGGCGTAGCCGCGTTAGAGCGCCTCGTTGTCGCATCGTGGATAAACACTGATGATGACCCGGTGGAATATATTCTCGTCACTTTAAGCGGCTATTGTTGCCCTGTCAAGTGCAGCCAGGGCACTGACTTGTGTAGGGCTTGCGTACGTCACAATAAATGGTGTTCCAAGTTCTCATCAACCTTTTGATATGCAAATGAAGCTGTGTCACACTTATTTATTTATGCATTTATTTTGTCAGCGTTATTGCGCTCATCCATCTAGCGACGACATGACTCTTAAAGCTGCAGCTGCTACTCAGCTCGTGAGGCGGCTCCTGTTGTTGTCGTAAAGAGTAACTTAAATGGTCTGGCTGTCGGGGATATTTTTTATATACTGATCAAATATTAATGAAGTAAAGACAACAACAACATAGCTTTTGGTGAGGGCGTCAATTTTTCATCGGCTGCACTTTGCGTACTGTATATGTGATAGGACACTATACGGACAAAAGTTTTTGGACATAGCTCTAAGGAGAGTTGCGAAAATTCGCATAAGAAAAAAAAATGCACATAACCACAAGCAGATTTTCGCTGAAACTTTCGTGCAGGAGTGGAACTGTTCGTAAACAGGGTCGTTCCTACCCCGTCGTTCCTCTGCACTATGCGATTATGACTTGTTGTTGGGAAAAGTAAGATATTTCCGACGCAAAATCTGTTTGGGATGCGAAAAGTAAGAGTACAGCTGTCCTCCAAAAAAGCTACACATTGTCCTTAGAATATGGCGATGTTATGGTGTAACAATTTAATATGTCTAATTTGGCGTCATATGGCATGACATCATTTCAAAGGAAACTCTTGAAATTTCAGAACCGCAAAGTGTTTGAGGTGAGAAAAGTACATTTCACTTTTTTCCTCTTCTTAAATTCTCCCCTTACTGAAAAGTGAATCGCAAATCAGAGCAAGGAAATGCGGTTATGATTGGAGACTTGAGCAATACTAAGATCTTTTCTTTGAGGCTACCCCAGCTGGTAAGTGCTTTAGTATCGATATTGCTCTTGACGTTCTGGTTCAGCCCGGTTCATAAGAGCAAGCCGCCGTTGGAATAAAGCCCATGGGAAGGTCGTTCGGTTCTTCCAACCGGCCAGGCTGAATACTGGGGGGGGTGTCGCAATGGCGGCATCAATAAACTTGGGTCAGTCCCATTGATTTTACACTTTTTATAAAAAAAAAAAATAAAATAAAATAAAAAAAAAAAGGTCAGACACCCGCAGCTCAGGCACAGGAAAAACATTTGGAGGGGACAAAAAGGCCAGTGAATACAATTTACACGAGCCACCAACTGATCTGTGAAACTAGTTAACACGCTGTTCTTAGAAGCTGTTTAAAAAAAAAAATTAATTGACTTTATATGGCTCCTGCCGGATCAAAATGGCAGCTGGCGAATTTGTACGTAATGACACACGGCAACAACGGCTGGACGATGGTCCATTATCATCCCTTTGATGAGCCACGGTGTTCTCTCAGGCACTTGTAGTTGCCCCCCCCCCTTTACCCCCTCTATCTTTTGGAGTATTTGACAGCAAAAAAATAAATCGAAAAAAAATTCCCCCTTTATTGTTCACAAAATATCGCCGCCAAAATATCAAATGAGTTTGTGATTCTTGCCACCGGTCGGGATGTTCCAAACCTTGGAAGTTTTGTGACCCAACAGTTTTTGATGTCATTTGACCCCCCCCCAAGGGTATTCTGTCCTTCGTTTGAGCTTAATATGTTTGTTGCTAAACAAAGCTAAAGGCTACTCGTTATTGCAGTCATCTGTCAGAGTCGACGCGGGCGATGCTGTTTACCAAACAATATGTCACTGCAACAGCCCCCCCCCCCAAGTTGGCGTCCTCGGGTCCCAGAAACAAGATGAGTTAATACACCGGGGCTTCGGATACGTTTTCTTGCTTTAACCTTCCACTCTCTTTCCCGCAGTGTCGGTGTGCGTGATGCCTCGAGAAGGATAAACATCTTGTTTTGTAAAGGGTGGGGGGAAGTGGGGTGGTGGTGGTGGTGGTGGGGTACCACATTCATGTAATCAGCCAAATGTGTTTGCCGCCTCCAAATGAAATACTCGGGGAGAAGCCGCCAGGTGCGCGGCGATCTCTCTCTCTCTCTCTCTCTCTCGCTCTCGCTCTCGCTCTCTCTCCTTCGCTCTAGGAAGCCTCCGGAGGCCAGAGCGATGGCGGCGGGGGGGCTCGCCGAGAAAATTCGCAGCTGATAAACAGGGATAATAAAGGCGGATGTGGCCGTAGAGATGGTGTTATTTGACGTCGCAAACAAGGCTTTTTATCGGTTTTCCAACCACTTGGAGTGGATTAGATTTCAGGCTAACTGGAAAAGAAAATAAACACATGCCCTCAACTCTAGTTACAGTTCAGCTCTTGCACCGTATTAAAACGGTGAACTCGCTGTGTGCGGTTGGGGAAAAGGGATGAGGTTTAGAGCCGAAGTTTTTGGGTTCGGGTGAGGTTTATCTTCAGGGGTAACAGGGATTGGGTTCGTCAAATTTGCGGGATGGGTTGGGGTTAAAGACATGTTTTGGAGTTCGGGTCGGTAGGTAGAGGTTACATTTTGCGGGGCGAGAGTTCTGTTTAGGAGCGGGCTAAAGTGTGAGAGGTTCGGGGTTCAACGTTAAGTTTAGGATTCGGGCTAAGATTTGGGATGAGCCAAAGGAGTAAATTAGTGTTATGGTTTGGATTTAGGGTTTGGGGATAGGGTTTGGTATTACGGTTATCATTAGCTGTCGGATTAGCATCGGCCTTTGAGTTGGCGTATTTCTGTGTGGCCCTTTTAGCATGCGCACCACACTATCAGGCATTTGGCCACTTTGCTCACCCTTTAGGGCACGAAATGGAATTTCTTGATCAGCCTAACCTGGCTGCCTCTCAGTCCCTATTTCTGTATCGACCATTGAACTAATTACCTCAGGCTCCTGGACCTGGCTTGTTCTCCACGTGTGTGTGTGTGTTTGTGTCAGCGAGAGTTATAGCTGATCCCTGAAAAGGTTCTGTTTAATCGCCTAATGGCTATAATAGCTGTGACTTGCAGCTGTATGGGGTCTTGGAGTGGCTTTAAGAACATCGTCCACCGAGTTGTATCGCGTGTGTCCTTGTAACATGTTCCATAGAATAGAGCTCTGCTCCACGGTGGTCCAGTGGTTAGCGCGTCGACCTCACAGTGCAGAGGTCGTGGGTTCGATCCCCGCTCCGGCCTTCTTGTGTGGAGTTTTCATGTTATCCCCGGGCCTGCGTGGGTTTTCTCCGGGTATTCCGGTTTCCTCCCATATTCCAAAAACATGCGTGACAGGCTGATTGAACACTCTAAATTGTCCCGAGGTTTG